CAAAGAGCAAAAAGCATATGCAATTTTGGTTTTCCCATTAGACATACAAAAAAATATAGATTTTACATCGGTAGCATTGCATGTAGATTAGGGAACCGAATCTTCAAGTCCACCGTTGCTGCCAGGTGGGAATTGTCAGAGGTTCCAACAGAGAGGGCTGTTCACCACCCACCCTGCGAGGAAGGAAGGAATCTCAGATAGCATGCTTGATGCGAATTGAAGTTTTAAGATTGGATTTTGTTGCTCAAAAAGAAAGCAAGAAAAGTCCAACAGATTTAAATTAGGGCATAATATCTGCCACAACAATTGGCTCTTTTCTGCCATACAGATTGACTGCTTTTTCTAAGTATTATCTCTAAGGCTAACATAAAGATTTTTATAAACTACTCTGTTCCTTTCTCCTATTATTTTTCCCCTTCAGGGCCAAATTCTGTTTAAGACTAATCTAATCGCAACTCAGAAAAAACTATCGAGGGCACATCTTGGTCTTGCACTGAATTTCCAAATGTGCAGACTGATAAGTGCAGAACCAGCTCCAGGTCACCAAACACAGGGCAGTCTCTTCCTGCATGACTGATACAGAGGAACAGCCAGCAAAACAGCCAACACTAAAAGCAGTCTCTCACTAGGAGCAATACCATCAGTTATTTGCTTTAATCCCGATGCATCGAGTTTTGGTTGGTCGGTTTCTGAGCCAGCTTCCCTAATTTGCTCTCCTGCTCAGATGATTTCTTGCTCCTCCAGGTGAGGATCCTGAGCTCTTCTGTGCTAATTGCTGCTGCCAGCACCTGCTGGGTTCCCTCATTAGGTCTGTGTCTTCCTTACCAGTCTGCTGTAGGAACCTAAGTGCTGGTGGTTCCCACACTAAACAGGTCAGCCAAACTGGAGTGACTGCCCTAAGTTGCCACCTGGAAACTAAAAAATTGCTTAGGAAGGAGGCAAGTGTGAACATAGCCTGCAAAACCCATCTGCATACCTCACTGCCATAGCATGCTGTCACATACGACTCTGAGATAAAGGGCAGAATGCTTACCATTAACAACTGTACTGATGGCAGATGCTTTGCAAAACATCCTGCATTAACAACAGAATCGAATATTTTCATCTTGAGGACCAACCTGCCATTCAGGTTTATTAGCCCATTCTCTTTATAAACACAGTATTAGCTGCAGTTTGAGTGTAACGTGGTGCATCTATAATGAGGAAACTTTGGGGTGGCATTTTGTAATTAAATATCTCATGAACTATTTGTAATGTCAACAGAGATTAATGCAGAACGGCACGCAAGGTCACTGGGTGGATTTCAGGAGAATTCTGTTCGCTTAACAAGACATTATCAGTTATTTTCTTAAATACAGTAAGTCACAATGTGTACAACTTAGATAAATGTGCGCACATTAACACTGCAAATGAAGACCTAATTCATTTGGATAACTTGCTTTTAAATAGAAAATACCATGGTGTTAGGCTACGTGTAATTTCTCTCTTAACTTTGACAACCTCCACTGCTGGAGGTGTTCAAGAACCATGGAGACGTGGCACCTGGGGATGTGGTCAGTGATCACAGTGGGGATGAGCTGGGCTTGGAGACTTTAAAGGCTTTTTCCAACCCCAACAAGCTTACTGCTAATACCGGGAGCAAACAGTGTCTTCTTTGTTCATAAACGCCAATTGCTCTTCACTTCCTTGAAGTTGTAACAATGCTCTCATTTGACAAATTCTCATGAGAAGACGTTGATACCTCCAAGTAAGATTACTTGGTTTGGATGGGATGGGGATCTCACTAACATCTGATAAGGCATTTGCCTTTCACAATCTAAACTACTACAGGCAAAAGTATCCTGATCTTCTTTGGCTCTTTAAGCACTTCACAAATTACTTTATGGCCCAGATGTAAAACTTCAGTATTTTACTGTGTCAAGTTTCATCTACATTAAAGCCTGAATTTCACCCTATCAGTCAGCCCGACAGCTGTGTGGTGTTCCTGACATTATGATTAATAGGAGTTCAGAGATAGGAGCTCACAGTTCTGCTAAGCCTAATGTAACAAAAGCAGCAAGTAGATAGCTGAATAAAAACATAGGAGAAGAGAGGCTATGATGATCACAGATGGCCCAGCCATCAGCCAAGCTTCTGACCAGGCGACACTGCTGAGAAGAACACCAGGACTGAAAGCAGCTGGGATTGGTAGATGAGCAAGAAACTGTAAAAGGGGAAGAGAAAATAAAGAACTAGAAGGAAGGGAAGCCATCCAGAAGGACCTGAATAGGCTGCAGAAGTGGGCTCATGTGAGCCTAATGAGGTTTAACATGGCCAAGTGCAGGGTGCTGCACTTGGGCCAGGGCAATCCCAGGTATCTGTACCAATTGGGAGTTTTCAGCCCTGTGGAGAAGGACTGGTGGATGAGAAGCTGGACACGAGCCAGCAGTGTGTGTTTGCAGCCCGGAAGGCCAGCTGTGTTCTGGGCTGCATTAAAAAGGGGTGGCCAGCAGGGAGAGGGAGGTGATCGTCCCCCTTGTTTGTCCCCCTCTGCTCGGCTCTTGTGAGGCCCCATCTGCAGCGCTGCGTCCAGGGCCCCCAGCACAGGAAAGATGTGGAGCTCTTGGAGCAGGAGCAGCTCTCCTGTGAGGAAAGGTTGAGGGAACTGGGCTTGTTTAGCTTGGAGAAGAGAAGACTCCAGGGAGACCTCATTGTGGCCTTCCAGCACTTGAAGGGAGCGCATAAACAGGAGGGGGAACGGCTGTTTGTGAGGGTGGGTGTTGATAGGACAAGGGAGAATGGTCTTAAACTGAGAAGGGGAGGCTTAGGTTTGATATGAGGAGGAAGTTTTTCACTCAGAGGGTGGTGAGGCACTGGCACAGGTTGCCCAAGGAGGCTGTGGATGCCCCATCCCTGCAGGCATTCAAGGCCAGGCTGGATGTGGCTCTGGGCAGCCTGGGCTGCTGGTTGGTGACCTGCACACAGCAGGGGATTGGAACTGGAAGAGCAGTGTGGTCCTTTTCAACCCAGGCTATTCTATGAGTCTATGAATTACAAGACTTCATTTTCAGTTCCACTTGCACATCACACGCATGTGCTCTAAAGAACCAACCATCCCTTTGCTTTCCAAACCCTGGGGCAGTTTGCCCACCAGCTGAATGATGGTGGCTATGCTGGTGACTCAAGTAATGCTGCAGGATGTTCCTGGGCTCTGAGTACAATCTGCTACAACTTAGTTCAGTGGCTGCTAGCTCAGCACTGGTGGCCCTGCATGTGACAGGGGGTTGGAGATTCATGATCCTTGATGTCCCTTCCAACCCTGGCCATTCCGTGATTCTGTGAACTGGGCACCAACGCAGCCATGCCAGCAGTTCTCAGGGTACTTAATCTAACAGCAGACTAACGAAGCTCTACTTATGATTGTTATGGTATTGCACCACACGTAAGTAAAAATTTATTTTTTTTCCCTAAATTTCATTTAAAAATGTTTAATTTACTATTCTGAAACTATTTTTCTGCATATTTTATTGAAAAATAAGTTGGAGTAAAACATTACTAGAAAAAAACAGAATGAATTTTGTATCTTTTCTGAAGAGGAGTCCCTGTAGCTTGTACAGACACCAGGAGGAAGTCGATCCTCTAACAGAAACAAGCAGATACACAGGAAATGAAAAATGTCCAGTCATGCCCTGGTACTTGAGGCCTTCAAGACTTTGCTGAATAGCACTGCTCTGTGATAATCTAGACCTCACACACATCAGTTTCAGGCCTGGAGCACTGACTATTTAGCACACAGGGCTCAAAGGATCCTAGACCCAGCACAAGTGCAGATCCTTGCTTTGTCTTCTTGCCATTTCAGGCTTAGCAAAAGCATTCCTCCCACTCGTAAGAACCAGTCTCCTGGTAATAGCTCTGAGCTCAGACAATACACTGTTTTTCAGATATTTGCATTTTTTGTCCTCTTTTCCTCTGACATCTTGGGCATCACATGAAGACTAAACCAGTACAGGAGCAGAAATCCTCTCCTGTGAAGTTATTTTATAACTAACCAGGTAATTGGTGGTTTTTCCAGCAATACCAGCAATGAGTCCACAGCACTTCAGAGAGATGGTAGGGAGATGACACAGGGGACTTTTTTCAGATTCCCCTAAAACAAACACCAGCGTGCTTAGGAACCCAGCCACAGGCTTACAGCACTACAGCTGCATCTGCTTCCATTACATTTTGCAATATTAACAGCAAATTGACAACCCACAGATATGTTACGTTCTTATATAAGATCACTGTCACTGTTTGTAGGAAGTGTAATTACAGCAACATTACAGGACTACATTTCATACGGGCCCAGAATGTAACATTTTATATAGCATTTTACACTGAACTCATCTGTGTCTTTTTTTCTTGCTTAAGATACTTCTTTCTTCTAAGTCATTGCCAAGTATGTCTTCCTATAGGTTACTGATCCTATACAGTCTATTCCTCAGAATTACGTGCATGAAGTAAGCAAACTGTGACAGTGTTCAGGTAGAGACAGAACTCCTGCACTGTAAGAGCTACAAAATGCTGCAATGAAGATCTGTCAATTTAAGAGGCAGGACAGGTGTTCACTATTCACACCCTCTTGTTCTTTACAGCCCAAGATATATTTTCATAGGAAAAAAAGTATGAATTACATAAATGCAGTCTTAGATTTTAGTGTAAGCATAGAGACGAGAACAAGGAGCGCCAACAGCATTGCTGGACGGTGCCAGTGAAAGTTGGGCTGCTGCTGACTATTGGTGCATCACTGCCTGGCAGCTGTGCTGCCATCCTGGAAACTTCTCTGCTCTCTGTATGAGCACCAACTTCTTGCCCACCTCTTATTATGACACTGCTTATTTGCACATTCCACATTTCAACTTTATTCCATCCTCCGAAAGGAAATTTTTTAATGACTTGATGCATACTGGAACGTTAGTACACGATGATATTTTAAAAGCCACCCTACCCTAAATGCCAGAACAAGGGACAGGGATACTCACAGGTATGCCTTGCCAGGGAATAATTGGACCCACCGCTCGTCAGCCCAAAGCCCTCAGGGATCTGGCTGGAGCTGCGTGGCCGTGTCAGCAGCTTAGGGGGCTCAATCTCAGCCCCAAATTCTGCCCCAATCACACCCAGCAGAACGATGGCTGTAGCCTGCTTCCTGCGCTCCTCATAGGACGTGGAGATCTTCTTCAGCTGCGGGAGACTGGACAGGCAGCCTGGAACAAGAAGGAGAAGCTATAAGGAAAACAAAAGCAAGGCGTAACACTCCAAACATTCTGTTTTCCAGAGAAAATAAAAGAGATTCCATTTAACTTAGAGCATATCTCCAGGACTGTTACTTCCCTTAGCAGAATTTTCAGCTGCTGAAGATAATGACTTTTACTTCCCAAAATGCACAACAGAAGTCTAAATAGCTACTTTTGCAACTGCTATCTCACCCATCCTTCAAAAACTGTCAAGACCCTGCTGAAGAAAAAAAAAAAAAAAAAAGGAAGGGGGACGCAGAAAACCATCAAATTTTATAGATCCTTATTCTTTTGCAGAGGAAAAAGCCATAACCAACAGAATTGTGTTTATCTACTTTTGTGAAAAGTAATATTTGGCCTGATTTTTGTTCACCCTAAATTTCTGTAACAAATAGAAATCCTCTTTGGTTTCCTTACCTCACAAAGTGTATTTTGGAATACTGGATTTCTATTACCAAAAAAACCTCAACCTTCTGTGTTATGATCCATCATAATATTCTAGTTCTTACTAAATTTTAGCATAAGGATATATGCCATTACATTTCAGTATCCCAAATGTTTCTTTAACAAACATCCTCTGGAATCATGGAAAAACCTCACTGTTGTGTGAATTTTAAAATAAAACTCCAAGTTTTATATTATTGGTGAAACTAAAAACTCTTGGGCTATATTAGATTTGGTTGATGGAGGGTGGATCAATTTTGGGTTTTTGGGTGTTTTGTTTTTTTTTTTGTTTTTTTGTTTTTTTTTTAGGAATAAAGAAGCCAAATCTTAGAAGTTTATGAGACTGAAATACAGCCAGACAAGTACAGCTCATGTTCAGCTAATTCCCAGTGCAATGGAAAAAGAAAAAAAAAAGACATACAAATCTGATATATAACAACAAAGCCTTAACACTCCTCTTAGGTTCCTCTACCAAACCTTTTCAGGAAACCCAGACAGCACTGGATGAGAATCATCAGAGCACAGGTTAAGAAGGAGCTAATTAGCATGCCCAATGCAGGTCTACCTGTGCTCCATCAGAAATGAGATGCTACCTCCAGAAAGCTGACTACATTTAAGCAAATGCAGCCATCGTGGTTCAGAGACAGCAGTGCGGTAGCGACAGAAACGTGCCAGCTGAAGGGGAGGAAAAATCCAATGGAAAGCTGAACAATGGCAGGAGAGGGGGAAAAAATCAATAGGGACTGCCTGGAGAGGGAGAAGGCAGGAAAGGGGCTGCACAGACAAAGCAGGGAGTACAGCAGCTCCTATCGCCCTGCACTCTGCTCTTTCACGGCCACACAGCTGGCTTGGCTCGGGGTCCCTGAAAGGCAGACGTCGCAGCATCCTGAAATGCTGGTCCTGATTCCTCAGGGCTCTCAGTTCTCATCAGGCAGCACACAACAAACCAGCCGGCACCCAGAGCCGAACACCAGGCCCTGCCCCGACCCGGCCCCAGCACCCTGCACAGCAGCACCCAGGTGCCCGCGACGGCTCTCGCTCAGACGGCACAACGGCCATAACGTTCCTTTGCTGTAACTTCCAAGTGAAATTAAAAAAAAAAAAAACATACATAAAAGATTTTTGCATTCACTTTTTTTTTTTTTTTTTTTTAATTACTCACAAAAGCGTAAAATGAATGGCAACGATTTCCTACGAATAAACTGACAGCTGTTTGGGAGAATCTAAAATGAAATGATGTCTCTGGAAGTAGTCCTTCCTCCACTTCCATTTGTCTCGAGAAAATTTGGTATTTTCTCACCGCGCCGTGGCTCCATTTAATCATGCGATGGGTGACACGGAGATCCATTTTCCTGACAGGACAGTTGATCACCCTATCACGGAGGGGAAATTAATAACCCCAGAGAGCTCTGCGTGGAAGCAGGAGCCCTGCTGGAGGAAGGACACTAATGTTGCACATTTTCCTCAGCAAATAGTGCACGTGTGCCTTGGAAAACAGTGCATGTGTACCTTGGAAAACAGCATGCCTCCAGCACTGCACAGTGTTGGAGGGGCATAATGCATCCAAGCATTTCTTTATACTTGGGTTTACTTCAGACCAAATGACTGTGTTAAATATTCCAATGCCTTCTGAAAACTACATCTAAACAGTGTTTAGAGGAGGCAGCCTTACGGGTAACACAAAGCAAAGAGGGTATTCACAAAGCATTCAAAATACAGGTAGAGCATTTCAGAAGTTCAAATTGTTTAAAAGGCTGCAGGTTATTGATTGCTTCATTTAAAAAGCAGTCAGAGAGTGCAGCCACGAGGTCAGGGTGAATTTAACAGTTTGGAGCACTTTACTAAATAACTCTAAAGATCATGTTAATTGGCTTTGCACAGTTCTTGGGTAAAATTAATTTTATCCTGGCTTACAATAAAAGGATTAAAAGACAAATTAAGTTCTTCAGGTTTAACTGGAATAGAAATCAATGGATCTGAATTAAGGCTGAAGGTGGTTTTGTAAGGGACGGACTGCTACCTCGTATCTGCTTTATGTGTGCATATCTGTGCGTGCATTGTGTGCATAGATACATGCACACATACACACAGAAGAGTGGACTGAAAAAGCCCACAACTTTCACCTAAGGAAATAAAATAATTTCCTCAAGACCACAACAGAGCTTGCACCAGTTTGGCAGGGAATTCTGATGCCATCCTGGTGTTTAAAGGATGCAGAGAAAACCAACAACTAAACCCCTCATGATTTTGTCACAGTCCATATTTCACAGCACAAAGTGAACATCGTCAGCAGTCACTGTCTATAAATGAAACCTTGCAAAACGACAAATGACAAAACTTCCTGGCAAGCCAGCACTGAAACTGCTTACTTTTAAAACTGTAACAGTGTCTCTGCATTATGGAGAATATTATAGAAGAACATTCAAGAGCTATGATGGGGAAAGGCAGTTTTGTTTACACGCATCTTGGCTCACAATAATCCATGCAACTGCCTGGTATTTCCATATCAGTAGTTTCAAATATCTTTTCTTGTCAGGTGCACTATTTTCTTACAGTAAATAAACAAATTTACTCAAATGGTGCTCTAAAAGGAAATGGCAAAAAACACAGATTTCAAACTACAAAAACAAAACGAAGTGAACAAAAAATGTGAAAGAAAGAAAGGAAGGAAGGAAAAATAAGGAAGGAAGGAAATAAAAATAAGGAGTGAAAGAGGGAGGGAGGAAGGGAAGGAAGAGAGGACAACCAAACAAAAACTGCTGTGAATTAAATGTGCCAATGAAAGGCACTTCAGTTCTTCAGGATTCTTAACGAGTCAAGCCACTCTGCGGGTCTGCCTTCATTTTCAATTTTTAAGACTGTACTCTGAAGAATAATTACAGTAATTTCAGCACCTCTGCAAGCCTACAATGCCACAGTGTTGAAAATAATCCAGAACTGAAAAATATACAGAAATACTGGTAACATGAAATGACCATGAGGAAAAGGCTGAAAATAATCTATTTCATTTAAGCTCACGAAAGCCACTGCGTCTCCATGCTAACCTGACAGGATTCAAGAAGGTGCTTTCTGCCACTTCTGTTATTCCTACACACATGGCTCCCTCCTCTGGCCAGCAGAACAGAGTATTGGGTGCAGGGCGTCGGGTGCAGGGCATGCATTCCCTTACTGCTTACAAGAAAAAGGCAAACAAACAAGTTTTATGCTCTCTGGAGTCATTTATTTCTATTTTCAGTCTTATGCTCATTAACGGTGAAAAAAACATCTGTAAATACAGAAAATTCCCAAATTCTTTAAGTCGTGAGCCATCTCTGTTTCTACCTGCAGCAATTCCATAATCTTCAAAGTATTTATAAAATGTACATACTTGCAGACGGAAAACTCATTTTGTGCGTCTATTTTTTAATTTAGCTGACAGCTCAGAAGTCAGTAAAGCACAATGCAGAAATCTGGCAGCGCGTGGCAAGTTGAAGAGGCTGACTGGGATTGCTAACTCTGGAACCCAGTTTTTATTTCCTATGGTTATCTCAAGGGTGTTTACAGTTTCCATTTTGCTGCCTCCGCAGCACTTCAGCTGGGCTGTTTCAGGAAATACGTAAAGGGTGGAGAATCAAACAGACTTCAATAGCAGCTTGTTCATTAAGACATAACGTATTCTGCAATTCCTTTATAACTATTCCTATCACTTAGACCAGAATATAAAAGATTAGTAACAGGATGCACCCGTGGCATTACCTATAGATAGCTGAAATGCAGAGTTTGAATGAAGGCATTTCAGTGCCATGCCATCTGGTATTTTCTTTTAAATGAATCATTTGCTGTGTTTTATTAGGTATCTGCCACCAAACTATCAGACGGGGAAGGAAGCTGCATAAGAAGAAAACAGTACATCTCACAAAGATTTCCTGCACCTTTTCCATTGTTCTCACAATTATTAAGGAGATATGTAGGCTTAGCTAATGAAAGAACACTTGATAACATCACCTGAAAATAAATTCAGATAAGAATTTGCAGAAGAATTGCTCCTAAGCACAGCAGGTTGTTTTGTTCTTGCTGTTGTCTTTTAAATAATTGCTGGCATTTTTTTTGTTTGTTTGTTTTTATCCATTTTTAATTTCCCTCCCCAAAAGGTCTCCTTCCTATTGGCTGTCTCATTTGTTTGATGATGACTGTCCTGCTGTTTTCGTAGCTGCAGGAAAGCATGCGAAATGAAGGAACACTGTTACTACTGTAGAAACTGGAAGTGTTTAAACTTCATTTTCCTAATTTTTCATACAGCATCTTCCAACAGAGAAGTTTAATAATTAAATATCAATAAGTCACATAGCTTTGTATTATTAAAGCCAGGGCATTTTTCTGGTTTGCTTTTTGATAACATATTCCCTTTGTGGTGCCAGTAACCTGATTTTATGCAGCCAGCCAGCTGCAGCACTTTAGAAAGAGAATTATAAAACCCCTCATGGGGAATAATAACATTTATTAGATGAGTATAGATGACGATGACGGTTATCATTATTATTTAGAGA